TTTTTGTATTTTTAGTAGAGATAGGGTTTCACCATCTTGGCCAGGCTGGTCTCGAACTCTTGACCTCATGATCCACCCACCTCGGCCTCCCAAAGTGCTGGGATTACAGGCAGGTCTCTCCTTTAAATGCTGCCACAGTCTCATGAGCCTTACCTTCATAGCTACATCATGGTATTGCATTTTATTTGTTTGTATGGCTAAGTGTGAAAGTATCTGTCTTTCCCCATTAGGACTGTAACCCTGTGAAGGGCAGGACCAGGTTTCTTACTTGCTCACCTTGGTATTCTGTGGGCATCAGTGCCTGCCACATGCTAGGTGCTCAAAAATATTTGAATGGTTGGGCAGTGACTCATGCCTGTAATCCCAGCACTTTGGGAGGCCGAGATGGACAGATCACCTGAGGTCAGGAGTTTCAGACCAGCATGGCCAACATGGTGAAACCCTCTCTCTACTAAAAATACAAAAATTAGCCAGGTATCATGGCGTGTGCCTGTAATCCAAGCTACTCAGGAGGCTGAAGTAGGAGAATCTCTTGAACCTGGGAGGCGGAGGTTGCAGTGAGCCGAGATTGCTCCTCTGTATTCTAGCCTCGGTGACAGAGCAAGACTCCCATCCAAAAAAAAAAAAAAAAATTGAATGAATGAAATGATTAATATAGTGTTTGGTCTCCTATGGTTCATAAAAGGTCTTCTCTGCCACCAGGTTATCATCATCTCTTTCTGATTATGTCTCCCCCATACTTAGACAACTCCTCACTACCTTCAAATGAAATACCAAACTCTTTAGTGTGGCATTTGAGGCTTTTTCTTTTTTTTTTTTTTTTTTGAGATGGAGTCTCGCTCTGTTGCCCAGGCTGGAGTTCAATGGCGCTATCTCAGCTCACTGCAACCTCTGCCTCCCGGGTTCAAGCTATTTTGAGGCTCTTTTTAAACTGGTCTTGTCTTCCCCATCCAGCTTCTCTTCTGTCTTCACTTCTGTCATCCCCTATCTGAGCTTGTGTTTTCAGCAACACCAAACGTTTCCCTCTTTCTTCAAAGCCACACTTTTTAGACATAGTGTCACTGTGTCCCCTAGGCTGGAGTTCAGTGACGTGATCGTGGCTTGCTGCAACCTCAATCTCCTGGGCTCAAGTGATTCTCCTGCCTCAGCTTCCCAGTGTGCTGAGATTACAAGAATAAGCCACCACACCCAACCCAAAGCCATACATTTTAAGAGCCTTTGTTCATGCTTGCTCTCTGCTTGGAATGTTCACCTTCTCCCCCTGTTCTTCAACATCCAAGCTATAGATCACCTTCTTTGTAACATCCGTCCTTTCTCTACTGTGTTCTAGTTTTGGAAATTTCCTGTTGCAGCTTTAACACCAAATGATAGTCACTTGTTAGTTATACGCCTAGGACCCAGACTGTATTCCGGAATTGTTGGCTGAATAAACCAGGAAGCCCAGAGTGTCTTGCCTCTGGTTGGGACTTGAATAATAACAACAACTAAACTTTATTGAGTGCTTATTATGTGTCATGTATTGGGTTGAACACTTCGCATTGATTACTTCTCATACCAATCCTACGAGATTATAGACTATAACAATTTCGATGTTACAAAAGAGGCAGTCAAGGGTTAGAGAGGTTAGGGAACTGTCTCAAGGTCTCAAAATGGATAAGAAAAGGTGGAGCCAGGATTTGAACCCAAACTGTAGGACTGTAGCTCTCTCCCTACCACCACACCAGGCTGGTCCTGAATTGCCCTGCCAGGTAATGGTTTGTAGAAGTGAGTTTCTTTAAAAAAAAAAATTTTTTTTTTTAAATTTTGGGACAGGATCTTGCTCTGTCACCTAGGATGGAGTGCAGTGGTGCCATCACAACTCACTGAAGCCTTGATCTCCTGGGCTCAGGTGATCCTCCCACTTCAGCCCCCTGAGTAGCTGGGACTACAGGTGTGTGCCACCACACCTGACTAATTTTTGTATTTTTTGTAGAGATGGGGTCTCACTGTGTTGCTCAGGCTGGTCTCAAACTCCTGGCTTCAAGCAGTCTTCCCGCCTTGGCCTCCTAAGTGCTGGGATTATAGGCATGAGCCAATGCACCTGGCTGTGAATTTCTTCTTAACGCAAGTGCTGTCTCTACCTGTCTAGGCCTGGACTGTGGGGCATAGAGGTTAAAGGGTGGAGACTTGCCGCCTCCTCATGACTTTTTCTCCACCCTGTGTCTCAACACTGCCATCACTCCCACTGCCATCTTCAGTGGGCGAGCTTGGAAAGAATTGATCCTGTGAGTCATTTAGACTCCTGCGCTAGTGTGCAGACCAGTGGTGTTTCCAGCTCGCCTTCCAACATGGCTAGAGGGTTAGGAAAAAAGTATATATATGTATATATTCCAACATATTCAACACAAGAGCCCCAGGTGCCATAGCAAAAGACCTGGGCTTCAGTTTCAGCTTGGCCACTAATGTATTTGCCTTGAGCAAATCAGGGCCCCTTTTTGAACATCTGAGCATAGTAATCCTTGTTGTCCTTAATTGGGTTGTTGTGAGAGGCTAGTAAGATAGTAACTTGACTAGAAATACATGCAGCAGAGGATATTATCTATGCTTAGCAAAGATGAAAACTTACCCCAAGCCCTTCATTACTTTGCCTTGTGATTTTTTTTTTCAGGCCACCTCATGTATGCAGAGACCATGTGTGTCTGATCTTCTGGGATCCTAGAGCTGGAACAGGTGTGGAGGACTAGGCAGACTGGTCCTCTCTCATTACTCCTTCTAGGGTGGGGTTCTTCACAGTCTATATAACAGGCTGGGCCCAGGGTTCCTTGGGAACCAGGCTGTTTCCACCTCCTTGCCTTTGCTCTGCTGTTTCCTTTGCCTTGATTACCCTTCTTTCCTGGCCAGTCTCTATCATTTTATTTTGTTTTGAGATGGAGTCTTGCTCTGTCACCCAGTCTGGAGTGTAGTGGCACAATCTCGGCTCACTGCAACCTCCGCCCCCTGGTTCAAGTGATTCTCTTGCCTCAGCAGGAGGCAGCTGTGTTGCTGGGACTACAGGTGCACACCACCATGCCCGGCTAATTTTTGTAATTTTAGTAGAGACGGGGTTTCACCATATTGGTCAGGCTGGTCTCTAACTCCTGACCTCAGGTGATCCACCTGCCACGGCCTCTTAAAGTGCTGGGATTACAGGCATGAGCCACTGCGCCCGCCCTTGGCCAGTCTCTATTATCAAGACTACTCAGGCTCTCCTCTAAGGGCTTTGACTGCCACTCCACCCCCTCACCCTATCCTACCCCTAAGTTTAACTAAATTAGACACAGTATAGTCAATGGTTAAGAACCAGCCTGCTTTACCACCTACTAATTGTGAGACCTTGGGCAAATTTCTTATCTTCTATAATAGAGCTAACCTTAGAGTTTTTGTGAGCATTAATACGTGTAAAGCCAGTTAACATGGGCAAGTAAGTTAACGCTGAGAAAAGCACTTAGAGACCAGGCGCTCACACCTATAATCCCAGCACTTTGGGAAGCCAAGATAGGCAGATTGCTTGAGCTCAGGAGTTTGAGACCAGCCCAGGCAACACGGCAAAACCCTGTCTTTGTTTAAAAAAAAAAAAAAAAAGAGAGAGAGAGAGAGAAAAGAAAAGCACTTAGAGGAGCTCTTCATTAAGCCTGGCCCAGTATCTGAGATATGGCACTCCTGGTAGCTCATGGCCCCCATGCTCCTCCACCTGTCTGTGAAGGCTCAAGAGGTGACAGTTTCATCACCCTAGCCTCTGTCTCTCTTCATGTTGTCATTGAGACTGTCCCAGCCTTTTATGGCATGTTTTTTGAGAGGCCTAATTTATTTCTATTCCATGATTCATCCAACACATATGACCCTTCTGTGGGTCAGGCCAAGTGATATTGTGAAACGAACATTGGACAGCAGGACAGGAGACATGGGATCTGCCACCTATGAGGTCAGTTTGAACCTTTGTAGAAAGGAGCTTGCACTGTCAGTTTTCTATGAATTCTCTTTCTCCCTGGCCCTTCTCTTTTTCCATGTCCTTCTTCCCTTCTTCGCATGTCCTTCTATTCTTCCGTGGATTTCTTCCCTGAAGCCTAAAGAGATTGTAAAATCTTAACATCCTCCACAAGTGAGGAATGATGCCCATAGCTCCAACCCTCAAAAGACTTATAATCTGGCTAGAGTTTTAAAAGGAGTGTCCTTATATACAGTTCTTCAAACATTTGGTGAGGCCACCTCTGTACTAATCCTGTGCTCACAGAAAAGGTAGCAAGAGGAGAGCCCTGGGCACTGTCTTCATAGAGCTCATAGGCTACTGAGCTCACAGAGCTGGAGCCATAATAAAGAGAATCTAAGTATTTTTAGCCAGTACTTCTCAAAGTGGGTGGAAATAGGCTGGGCACAGAGGCCCACACCTGAGAATGCTTTGGGAGACTGAGGCAGTACTTTGGGAGATGAAGACAGGAGGATCATTTGAGCCCAGGAGTTCGAGACCAGCCTGAGCAATGTCGTAAGAACCCATCTATCAAAAAATAAAACCTGTCTCTACAAAAAATTTAAAAATTAGCTGGCCAGGCTGGGCGCGGTGGCTCACGCCTGTAATCCCAGCACTTTGGGAGGCCGAGGCGGGTGGATCACGAGGTCAAGAGATCGAGACCATCCTGGTCAACATGGTGAAACCCCGTCTCTACTAAAAATACAAAAAATTAGCTGGGCATGGTGGCGCGTGCCTGTAATCCCAGCTACTCAGGAGGCTGAGGCAGGAGAATTGCCTGAACCCAGGAGGCGGAGGTTGCGGTGAGCCGAGATCGCGCCATTGCACTCCAGCCTGGGTAACAAGAGTGAAACTCCGTCTCAAAAAAAAAAAAAAAAAAAAATTAGCTGGCCATAGTGGTGCATGCCTGTAGTCCCAGCTACTCAGAGGCTGAGGTGGGAGGATTGCTTTAGCTAAAGAGTTAGAGGCCACTGTGAGCTATGATTATACCACTGCACTGAGCAACAGAGTAAGACTCTTGTCTCTTAAAAAAAGACCAGGCGCGGTGGCTCACACCTGTAATCCCAGCACTTTGAGAGACCAAGGCGGGCAGATCATGAGGTCAGGAGATTGAGACCATAGACCATCCTGGCCAATGTGGTGAAACGCTGTCTCTACTAAAAATACATAAATTAGCCGGGTGTGGTGGCACGCACCTGTAGTCCCAGCTATTCTGGAGGCTGAGGCAGGAAAACACTTGAACCCAGGAGACAGAGGTTGCAGTGAGCCGAGATTGCACCACTGCCCTCCAGCCTGGTGACAGATCGAGACTCCGTCTCAGAAAAAAAAGTCAGTGGAAATATATCAGGAGTCATTTGGGGAAGTATTTTCTTCTACAATTGAGAACTGCTTTATGCAGAAAAAAAGTCACTTTGTCTAGGTTAGTAGGTGTGTGAACCAGGTCCTGGACCACAACAGGAGCCTCCTGAGGCGAGAGGTTGAAGCTTCTCTTTTTTTTTTTTTTTTTTTTTTTTTTTGAAGCTTCTCTTCTGACTCTGGGATCAGCCCCAGAGCAGGCCCTGCCCCCAGGAGCCTGTGTATCTGCTCTCTTCTTCCCATCCATATTCCTTTCAGGAGGGTCACGCAGCACAATGCCAGCTCTGCCCCTGGACCAACTCCAGATCACCCACAAGGACCCGAAGACAGGAAAGCTGAGGACTTCACCAGCGCTGGTGAGCCGGTGCCTTAAGGCCATTCAGCCTGATATTGTCAGTCTTGCAATTTCAGAAGCAAAAAGCAAAATTCCTTCTTTATCTGTTCAAGAATGACCCGAGGGCCATGGTCAGTAATTCAGTAGCTGAGACACTACTAGTCCCTTCCAGGCCCGGAGTAGGAGTTTCCTTCTGAGTAGCAGCTTGAATTTGAGTAGGATTTTCCATGTCACCACCCTGCACCTTCTCCTCAAAGCATTTAATTTCAAATCAGTCTGATGGTAGTTCTCATTCAGCTGGGTTGGGCTAGAAATGGATCCAGCCCAAAGCTGGGTTTGGGGATTTGACCCTATGGAGGGTGTTCCGGTTTCAGGTAGCATTTTCAGAGCTATTTAAGCTGCTATCCATATTTTGGTGGGAACACTGATTTCAGAGGTTGGGCTGTCTTTTGTCTCAACTGGGATAAGAAGCACCACGTACAGACACTCCGGCAGGACTTGTGAGACTGAAAAATAAGGAGGCTGTGAACATTTCAATTACCAGCTGCAGAGAGAGATTACAGCCATGGAGAGGTGTCAGGCTGCCGACGAAGGAGATAGACACGGGCCCTGGAGTTCTATACCCACTGTTGTTTTCCCAAGAATATGAACTTACTTGAACAAGGTGGGAGGAAGTGTTTTCCAGGGGTTTGCGTAAAGTCGTGAGAAACAGGAACTTGGTGTTTTATTTTCTGCCTTCTAGATAGCTTCTTATTACTTCCTAAATACTCTCTAATAGTAGTACCTGACATTTATAGAGCACTTGCCCTGTGCCAGACCATTCTAAACACTTCACCCGGATTATCTCATTTAGTCCACATCACAACTCTACAAATAGATATTTTGATTGTCCCCATTTTACAGATGAGAAAGCTGAGAGTTCAGAGTCACAGACTTAGGAGGTTAGAGGAGCCAGGATGGGAACCTAGCGAGGCAGACCCTAGGGACATATATCCTTAATCTTTCTGCTATAAAGCCTCTCGTTTCCTTTTTATATGTGGAGATATTTATCAGAACATCTAGCAGTGTTGTGTTCGGTACGATAGCTACCCAATAGGTAGCCATTCACCACATGTAGCTATTAAGCACTTGTAACATGAATAGTGCTGGAAGTGTGGACTGAGGAATTGGATTTTTAATTTAATTGTAATGCTTTTAAATTAAAATGGCCCCATGTGGTGAGTGCCAGCATAGATATAGAGCAGTTCTATTATTGCAGAAAGTTCTATTGGAAATACTGATGGAGACTGGCTCCTTGGATGGTCAAGTATGATTTTCCACCTCAGTCTTCCCCCCCATACCGAATGAACATGAGGGTTTTTAAGACTGTGGGCACAGTGAGAGCAGCGGCCTGGTCCTCGCCGTTTACTCCTGATTTCCAGCGTCAGGCACATAGGAAGCTCTCAGAAAACATTTGGTACATGAGACAGGGACTGCAACCAGGCCATGTGCCAGGTTCTGGAGCTATAAAGAGAAAAGACATAGTCTCTGCCCTGAAGGAGCCCACAGCCTAACAGTTCTATACCCACTGTTGTTTTCCCAAGAATATGAACTTACTTGAACAAGGTGGGGTACAGTGGCATGATCTCGATTCACTGCAACCTCCGCTTCCTGGGTTGAAGCGATTCTCCTGCCTCAGCCTTCCAAGTAGCTGGAAGGCTGCTTGGACCAGTAGCTTCTCTAGTGTGATCAGGGTTGTGATAGAAGGAAGTCGAGGCTGCTACATGAGTGCAGAGCCCGGGCCGCTGATCCAGACCAGTGGGATGTGTAGGGGCAGAGAGGTCTTGGGCCTGGTAGGAGGGCCCATGCAGCCCAGGAAGGCTTCCTGAAGGAAAGGGCTTCTGAACTGGGTACTGAAGGGCGACTTAACACTAGCTGGGCAGAGCAACAGGAGAAAGCTAGACCTCGTAGGATGACGTTAGTATGCAGCCCTGGAGTCTTGAGAGAGCCTGACTCTCACACTAACCACAAGTCACTTGAGGTGGCAGCAGTATAGCAGAGTTAGCAGGTACAGGCTTTGTGTTCATCTCACACATATTTGGATATTTGGCTGTGTGTCTTTGGGCAAGTTATTGAACCTCTCTAAACCTCAAATCCAAAAATGATAATAATAGGACCAGCTTTGCAGGGTGGTTGTAGGGATTAAATGAGATGTCTGTGAATGAGCACTGTGCCTGAAACATAGTAAGCACTCAATAAATTGTTATTATAATGGTGATGACAGCAGGGACAATGACAGCAGCACTGAATGCGGTGTAGGGTGGGAAGAGGGACGAGCTGAGGGAGACAGTGGGCTGATCGATGAGGGGTCTTGTTGGCAGACTGAAGAGTGTTATTCTGCAGGCCATGGGAAGCTCCTGAAAGATTGTACTAAGATACGTGTCCACCCAAGTAAGATATATTTGTCCATTTAGCCTTAGCTTGGGGCATGATCTCTAGCCAAAGGGTAGTCACCACACCACCTTTTTAGGGTGATTCGTAGAGCTAACAGTGGTTGAGGATCTACTATTTGAATAGCACATACTTGAAGACTCAAAAGAAATAGTCTTGTGGCTGGGCCCAGTGGCTCACACCTGTAATTCCAGCACTTTGGGAGGCTAAGGCAGGTGGATCACTTGAGCCAGGAGTAAGACCAGCCCAGGCAACATGATGAAACTCTGTCTTTTTTTTTTTTTTTTTTT